CACACGTGCCGTTGAGTTTAGATTTGTGAAAATTTACAAATTTGCACTGTTTGAGTGTTGTCATTGTGTTAGAGAGAGTAACTGTCATGAATAAATTTGACATTAAACATAAACCAAGTTGAAGTGTTACATCATTTCCAGCCTGCTTTTTGGCATCTGCATTTGGTAGCAGTCCAATTTGACAAAGACCATGCAGAATAATGTAGTATTTTAATTCCACAGCAGAGAAAGCTATATAGTTGGTCTAGGAAAAAAATATTGGTATTGGTTATCGGCCAAATAAGTTTTAATATATTGGCATATCGGATATTGGTCAAAAATCCAATATCATGCATCCCTAATAATTACCGTTTGTGTGTGTGTGTTTATCTTCTTGTCTGTTAACAAAATGTTTCATGAATCGCTGAATTAATTTTAATGAATGAAAGTATTCAATAAATGTACAGTGGAAAAACCTTTGAAGTCAACCCAATTCAATATGGCTACCACAACCAACTAACTTTAACAAATGGAAAAATGTCTAATACAGTCAATTTGACAGCTTTAGCTCATATTGAAAAGATGTGAAGCTCTCGACCTTGACCTCTCTAAGTGGCTTTAAACATCTGTTAAGTTCCTGGCAAGAACCAATGCAGACACGTTCCTGTTTTTAGTTTTCTACACCACCTCGTAATCTAGCTGTTTTTTCATCATGTTTCCTTTTAATTATTCCTTTAATTATCATTTTGTTTTCAACTGTAAAAAAATTATAATTTGTATGCATCATTTGTGATTATCTATTGTTGTCATCATTGTCCACTTTGTGTTAAAATCCAGGTCTCTCTTGTAAATGAGTCCTCATGGCTCAATGGGACTCACCTGTTTAAATAAAGATTGAATGAATTAATATTTAGAGAAATATTTGCTGAGGAATATTACACACATACTCTGTGTGCTCAGTTCACAGACAATTTTTGTTCAAAACTTTGTCATTGAAGCTGAAGAGCAGTATACATTCTCTAATAAAATGCTAGACCTCTCGTTTTTTTTGACTAATTTTTTATGAAATGCATGTTATGTCTAAGTATTTTCATGCGCTTAATGCCTAATCTTTATTCTGATTTGTCCTAATATAGAACACACTGTAAATTGCATTATAATTAAATCTTGATTTATATACTCTAGGTAAGCTGCTGTTAAAAGCTAGGATTCTAAAAGGCTTTCCAGTTTCTAAAACGGTGTTTGTGAATGCCGCTGAATGGGAGTACAGTGCTCGGATGTCAGTGAAAAGTGACACTGAAAGTGCACACCATCCATCCTAATCATAGACAGCAACTTGTTTTTCTGTTACATACAAAATGCAACTTTATTAACCTTCATGCCTCCATTCATTTTAATATACATGTATATGTTTGAACTTATTTTAATTTCACAGCTCCATCCATACAAAATTACAGAAGGGGGAAAAAAGGGGCAAAACACTGACTTTTTCTGAAACAACCCTCGGGAAAAAAAAGCGTAACAGGACATCTTCTCTTGGAGTTTTAAAAAATATCAGGGTGTAAATTTTCTTTTTCAGACTTGTTCCATGAGTAGAATCTCCCTTTTCGAAGCAAAACTCAGCAAAATCACATTTTTCTTTAACGGTAAGAATGAAAAGATGTGAATATATTTACACAACACTCACTTTACATAAATACAGAAACAACAATTACCGTACGTAATATTAGCAAACTTGAAACATAGGCACAGGCCTCACTACTTAAGTTGTCAAAACCAGCAAAAATCAAAATCAGATGTTACACAAAAAGTAAAATATTTATTTAACTAATAAAAAGTGTGAAATCATTAACAAAGGCGCCAATCGGCTGACTGGAATTCCAACCACAGGATCCCCCCCGTCCCCCCGCCCATGAGTGAGATTCCTTATTATCTCACATAAAAACATTGTGCTGATGATGTGCTGAAGTTAACTTGCAGAGGCTTCTGTAATTCAGTTTGTTTCCTCTTAGAGGAGGTGACTTATTGCAAGCAGCGTAACAATGTGAGCTTCAAACCTGTTAATGAGTTATGGGACAATGTTGTATTTGACTCTATGATATAAGGCTCAGTGCAAAGAGAAACGTTAAAGCAGCAGTTCAGATCTCTGAAGCGGGGTCCTGTGGGAACATTATGTACAATTAGTGTTGTACCTGCGGTGGATAGCTCTTTGAACTGCCTCAGTTTAAAAAAAGTTTTTTTAATGCCAGTATGAGCAAGACCAAGACCAAAGTGGATTATTATTGTCCTGATGCAACTTCCAGCTTAACAAGAAATTTGCATTTTCTGCAAAAATGCAGTGCAAATGTTTATTGCTGAAGAACTTGCTGACAAACAGCTGAACTTAGCTAAAAAAATAAAAATAAACATACATGTACAACATGTAGCTGAAATGAAAAAACAAGCCTTAATTAGCAGAAGTAAGCAGAAAGAACATGTTTTTGGTGAATTAGGTATAAATTAGAAGAAATGAGAGAAAGAAAAAAAATTAAATTAGCTAAAAAATAAAAAAAAAAGCCTGAAATTAGCAACAACAAAAAAAAGTGCTGAAAAATGTGTGAAAAGACAGAAATAAGCTTAAACTACCAGAAGTAAGCAAAAAGAGACGAAATAGTTTAAAAATGTGGACTTAGTCGAAAAGCCTAAAATTAGCATAAAAACAGCTAAATAGTTTCTGAAATAGCAGAAAAAAAGCCAAAACTAGCAGAAAAAAGATGAAAGGAACAAAACAAGCTTAAATGACCACAAAGAAGTTAATTAGGTTGAAAGTATGAAAAATTACCACAAAAAATGATTCTACCTAAAAACAGGTGGAATTAGCTAAAAAATGCTAAAAAAAAAAAAAAGTAGAAGAAGCTTAAATAGCAGAAGAAAGCAGAAAGAACACGTTTATCCAATTATGTTAAAAGTAGCATAAATGATAAATAGTGGAAATTATCTGAAAAAAGTTTAAATTAGGATAAAACAGCTAAATAGTAGCTGAAATAGCAAAAATAGATGAAACTTGCAGAAATAAGCTGAAAGGAGAATAACAAGCTGGAAATAGCAGAAAGTATTTGAGAAGAGCACAAAACAGTTGAAAAAACAGCTGAAATTAGCTGAAAGTAGATGAAAAAAGATTGAATTTGTACAAGGATGCTGATAGAAGCTGAAGAAGAACAAAATGTGAAAGAAGCAGTAAAAGTTTGTAAACAGATCTAAAAACATGAAGGATGTAAAATGAGCTTAATTCGTTTTCTATGAGGAAAAAAATGTCAAAAAAAGACTAAATATTTCAAAAAGCTCAAGTTGCTCCAATACCAAAAGTCATAGCAGGATTGTCCTGAAAGAGCTGAACATTTTGATTTATGATTTAATGTAATAGCACAAAATCTGTGGGATGAGAATCACCTTGAAAAACATGCAGAAGAAAAATGGATTACAATTGTGTGAATGCTTGATAAACATTAACAAAATAATTTAATAGTGGTTCATACAACTGCTATTTTTAACCTTTCAGTACCTTCAGGTTCACATTGCATGTTTTTTTTTTTTTTTTTTTCTGGCAAAGTCTGATATTTCTGCTAGAAATGTCCCAGTTCTGCACAGCTAACTTAATGTGGTTGCTATTTGCGCTTGCACATAATCAAAGAATTTTAAGTAAATAAGTGGAGTTGATTAAGAAAGCAGTGATCCACTTTGTTCTTGATCCAGCTCTGACAACCCGTTAGACCACCAGTTATGTCAGATTTACCCACCTAGAGCAGAAAATACAATATTTGTTCATAACATTTCCAAAGCTAGTCACTCCAAAACATCTGGACTACCCCTTCAAGAGGTCCGACTTGCATATTGTTGTGTGTGCTTTTAATTTCCTCCAAAAATTTATGGTTTTCTCATT